GGGTAAGTGGTGGATGACTCGAGTGTAAGGTATGTGGTGGATGACTCCAGTGTAAGGTAAGTGGTGGATGACTCGAGTGTAGTCTAAGTGGTGGATGACTCGAGTGTAGGATAAGTGATGGATGACTCGAGTGTAGGGTAAGTGGTGCATGACTCGAGTGTTGGGTAAGTGGTGGATGACTCGACTGTAGGGTAAGTTTAAGATGACTCAAGTGTAGGATAAGTGGTGGATGACGCGAGTATTGGGTAAGTGGTGGATGACGCGAGTGTAGGGTAAATGGTGGGTGACTCGAGTGTATGGTAAATGGTGGATGACTCGAGTGTAGGGTAAGTGGTGGATGACTCGAGTGTTGGGTAAGTGGAAGATGACTCGAGTGTAGTGTAAGTGGTGCATGACTCGAGTGTTGGGTAAGTGGTGGATGACTGGACTGTTGGGTAAGTGGTGAATGACTCGAGTGTAGGGTAAGTGGTGGATGACTCGAGTGTAGGGTAAGTGGTGCATGACTCGAGTGTTGGGTAAGTGGTGGATGACTGGACTGTTGGGTAAGTGGTGAATGACTCGAGTGTAGGGTAAGTGGTGGATGACTCGAGTGTAGGGTAAGTGGTGCATGACTCGAGTGTAGGGTAAGTGGTGCATGACTCGAGTGTAAGGTAAGTGGTGGATGACTCGAGTGTAGGGTAAGTGGTGGATGACTCGAGTGTAGGGTAAGTGGTGGATGACTCGACTGTTGGGTAAGTGGTGCATGACTCGAGTGTAGGGTAAGTGGTGGATGACTCGAGTGTAGTGTAAGTGGTGGATAAATCAAGTGTAGGGTAAGTGGTGGATAACTCGAGTGTAGGGTAAGTGGTGGATGACTCGAGTGTATGGTAAGTGATGGATGACTCGAGTATAGGGTAAGTGGTGGATGACTCATGTGTAAGGTAAGTGGTGGATGACTCGAGTGTTGGGTAAGTGGTGGGTGACTCGAGTGTAAGGTAAGTGATGGATGACTCGAGTGTAGGGTAAGTGGTGCATGACGCGAGTGTAGGGTAAGTGGTGGATGACGCGAGTGTAGGGTAAGTGGTGGGTGACTCGAGTGTATGGTAACTGGTGGATGACTCGAGTGTAGGGTAAGTGGTGGATGACTCGAGTGTTGGGTAAGTGGAAGATGACTCGAGTGTAGTGTAAGTGGTGTATGACTCGAGTGTAGGATGACGCGAGTGTAGGGTAAGTGGTGGGTGACTCGAGTGTAGGGTAAGTGGTGGGTGACTCGAGTGTATGGTAAGTGGTGGATAACTCGAGTGTAGGGTAAGTGGAAGATGATTCGGGCGTAGTGTAAGTGTTGGGTGACTCCAATGAAGTGTAAGGGGTGGGTCACTTGAGTACAAGGTAAATAAAAGTAACAAAATCCTTTCCATATCCATGAGATAATCGCTGCAAAATCTGAATCGATTTTACGATGTACATGTGAGCGAGTGAGTGTGGTTTTTCGCCGCTCTTAGCGAATTGAACCCGGACGACCGAACGCTTTAACCACTAGGCTACCCCACCGCCCCACGATGTATATGTACGTATATCATGAGCATACATGTATGTGTGTGATAGCTATGTAAGTGATTGGTTATTTCGAGTGAGGTGATGAGGTGAAATGGGGTTTAACGTCGCCTGTTTGTACTTGTTCGGACTAATGCTGATTTAAAAGTGGGATACCAAGCCACAGTTTCACATGAACACCCCACTCAGAAACAATACACGGACTCCGCGCCGACAAGTACCATCTTTTAACGTCTTTGGATATGACGCGGCCGTAGATCGAAACCCGAACCTTTAGCTCTCCGGGCGGACAGCTCTACCACTAGACCACGGAGGCAGTCCATTTCGAGTATAGGGTTATTAGTGGGTAACTCGTGTGACAACAACGAAGTCGAAAGTCATGATATCAAAAGCAATGCTCTTTAGACACATCATCACAATGTGTCGCGGGGGGGGGTAGCTTTGTCTTTAAATCATTAGCAGATTGGATGCCACACAAGAGTACTATGTCTGTCTGTCTGTATGTATGTATGTTTGTATGTGTGTCTCCCGCATTGATGTGGGTGGAATATTCGTAAAAGCGATGAAAATACATATTCACACATAAGCGACGTCATGAGAATGTGTTCCACGTTCAAACAGTGTGGCCCTCACTCAGTTTAGGTTCTAACACCAATGAGCGAGTGAGTATGGTTTTTACGTCGCCCTTAGCAATATTCCAGCAATATCATCGCGGGGGATACCAGAATTGGGCTTCACACATCGTACCCATGTGGGTAATCGAACCCGGGTCTTCGCTGTGACGATCGAACGCTTTAACCGCTAGGCTACCCCACCGCCCTCTTACACCACAGAACTTACAATTATTTGTAATCAACGAGTGTTCGAATGAATGACTGTTATGTTGACACTCACATCTAGGCCTGAATCTACATCTCTACCTTAAGCAAGTTGTATTCCATGAGTGGGATTTGCATGGGTACCCGTACGGGAGAACTACACAAAGTACACTGTCAGATATTGATATTTACCTACCAATTTCTGGTACCTAAAATGGAAGTATATCAGTCGCAAAACCTCTCCGCTTGTAAATATGTTTGTGCTGACAACGTTGACACAATTTATGGATATAGAGATTACTACAAGAGTGTCTGTCAGATACCATTGATCTTACAACGAGTTGTTACAAAACGCATATGACGAGCGAAAGCGAGTTAGATACGCTTTGTAACAACGAGTTGTAAGATCAATGGTATCTGGCAGGCATGAGTGCAGTAATCTGTTACTTAAACACCCACAAATCGCACCTTATTAACAGCGAACCGATGCATTTTGTCTATTCTCATGATTGCAGTAGCGCATTAATACACAACACCACTGTCATAAGTGACGTCATCCTATGTACTGCTTACTACTCATAAATAATGTGACCCTACACAAAAAGGTTTCCGCCATATCTGTGGATTATCAAGGCGATGTTGATAATGGAAACTAGACAAAAACAAAGATTACGGCTTCTGTTGAATTTACCACATCATTGTAATGTATATATGGGTAATTCCATAATTAGTGTAACGATACTCTTCCCATGATTAATCCCAAACGCATGATCGAGCCAATGTATGCAACAGTTAGACGAAAGTACCTCTAAAAATGCCATACAGGGTAAAATCTGAATTTTGCTTTCTTTACATTTCAGCAAATACAGTTTTCCTAACCCAGTTTTCGTTTCCATACCTAATTTATTTCGCATGATTTCATCTAGATAATTTGCATTGGTGACAAAGACCATTTGTCATTTGTTTCTAAAATGTATGAGGAATTCAGGGATGCATGTATAGCAGCTGAGTTTGAAATATACCTGATCGAATAGGCGTCTCATAACCGGCATTTTGTAAACACAATCCAATATGGCAGAACGTACACTTCGGCGTTCGTGTTATGTCTTATTGATAAAAACGATGTATGCCTTATTGATCAAAACCTATGTTGTGCTTGATTAATAAAAACCTATGTTATGGCTTATTGGTAAAACCTATGTTATGGCTTATTGATCAAAACATATGCTATGCTTTATTGATAAAACCTATGTTATGCCTTATTGATAAAAACTATGTTATGCCTTTTTCATAAAAACTATGTTATGCCTTTTTGATAAAACATATGATATGCCTTATTGCTAAAACCTGTGTTATGCCTTATTGATAAAAACTATGTTATGCCTTATTGATCAAAACCTATGTTATGCCTTTTTGATTAAACATATGTTATGTCTTATTGATAAAACCTGTGTTATGCCTCATTGATAAAAACTATGTTATGCCTTATTGATCAAAACCTTTGTTATGCCTTATTGATAAAAACCTATGTTATGCCTTTTTGATAAAAAAACTATGGTATGCTTGATTGATAAAACCTATGTTATGGCTTATTGATCAAAACATATGTTATGCTTTATTAATAAAACATATGTTATGGCTTATTGATCAAAACATATGTTATGCTTTATTGATAAAACATATGTTATGGCTTATTGATGAAACCTATGTTATGGTTATTTGATCAAAACATATGTTTTGCTTTATTGATAAAACCTATGTTGTGGCTTATTGATAAAAACTATGTGATGCTTTATTGGTAAAAACCTATGTTATGCCTTAATGATAAAACCTGTGGCGCCATATTTTGATTTTTGTTCATGAACCGTGTTCAATTCTGCTGTTGGCATATACGCGAATATCAATGATTTGCTTCAATATTTTGCTTAGCCTTTAATACAGCATCATATACCAATAAAAATACAAACACGTGTTGGTAAAGAGTGCAATGTTTATCCGTACACACATTCCACACACGCACAGTGGAGGAAATATATACCTTTGCTTTAATTACAACGCCAGGCAGCGTAACATTAATTGCTATCTTTTAACGTCTTTTGGAATGATGCTGTCACTGGATCGACCCACCGACCTTCTGCTCTCCGGGCAGTCGCTCTGGGATGTGGTGATATTACGTGTTTTGCGTTTGATGTTTAACTCCAACTCTGCTAATATCACGACGGCCAGTGCTTGATAGTGTAGTATAAGGGGAGGTAACTTGTGTTACCATACACTCTCGGTAACCTCGCTGCCACCAGTGTGGGCGCGGCCATTACAAGAATCTTGAAATTTGCCCTCTGACCCCAAACGTAGTAACGTTCATACTTTTGTTTATGTCTTTGGGAATGCCATCATATTTCAATTTGAAAAGGTTTACGACTGACCATGGTTTCCAGATGAATTAACTTGAATAGATTGGTTCGAGATTGCAGACTAACGGAAAATCAACAAACTTCTCCTTTACATTCTTACTATATCAATTACATGATAGTTTTAATGATATATAAATTCAAACTGACAAACAAAGAAAGTAATTTATCAGCGGTAAGTGTATTCGGCGTCACAACAGTCGTCACATGTTTGTAAACATAACGGTCATTCGGCTCCAAGAATGGTTGGGGCCACCTATCACAGTGGAGAATTTTGACTGGTGGCAGCGAAAGTATAGAGAGCTCCGCGAACGGACTATCGCTGTGAGGAGCTTGATGTACGGGCAGTGAAGGGGGATAACTCTTAAGGAATGTAGAACGAATATGGCGGACGAAGGGGATGCGTTGCAAGGTAGAATGAAGAAGATGTTAGACCGTTAGGACATATTTTTACAGTAATGTGAATAAAGACGTGTGTTCCCTGGGAACATTTGATGATTACAATATTATAATCGTCGTACAGCCGTGTGTGATTTGGGGCCTATCCTACAACAGACACCAGGCGTATGCACACACTTGCAACTATGGCACCTACCAGAACTGTGGAAAGAAAGCTTTATCACTAAAAGAGCACTTTCTGTAGGTGGACTTGCTAGCCATACAGTACAGGTCTTTATCTGTTCCTCGCATCATGGATGCGATTCGTCCAAGTCCGCTGTCTGTCATAAAGAATACGTCACATGATGACATCGTTTGTTGATCAAGAATCACTTTACCAAACCCCGCGCATGCGTAATCTTTTGCATGATTGTCACGATCAACATGAACTATATTCCCCTCCAAATCTTGAATGACATCTGGAAACAGCCTCTTGGCGTCCTGTCGCACGTTCTGTGAGTCTGTGGCTACGAACATCCGATAGAGGGCGCTGTTATTATACTGGCGGAGGAAGTTCCAAACAACACTTACGTTCAAAGGTGTGGGGGTGTACCAATCATTTGGAATTGTAGGATTCCCCCTCACACGCACATGAGCACACACGAGTTTCCTCCCGTTGCTACGGGCTGAAGATTGATAAAGATCAAACCTTTTCTGGACTTCAGGTTTCATTCTAAACAACCGCCGTAAAACAATATTGTATATGTCAGTTGTTGTCTGATTATGTGCCCACCGAAGAGACTTAAATAGTGGATGTAACTTTAGATAGTTAACCATTTCTTGATTAACAGTAAAATGTGTGACATCGGAAGGAAATTCCTTCTCTAAATCAAGAGATTTTGCAATTTTATCTCGTAGCTTAAATGCATCAGCGTCAATTCGCTTGTATGCGCTACTTTTCAGGTCACTAATTTCAGAACTTTGTAGAATCCAGTCAACTTTGTTTGCTTGGAGGAAATTACCGATATCACATGGTACTAACATCTTCACTTTGAACTTCCGGCTTAACATTTGTGAAATAATGAAAGCACCGACAATTCCTTCCTGTCTGTCCCCTAGACCACCACAGTTACCGTTGGCACAGTCATAGATGAAATATTTCTTTTCCCACCGAGGCCTGACAAAATATTCCTCAGGAGGGGTTTGTATTCCTGAAGCACTGTCATTATTCCCATAGGAAACTTGGCCTTTTCCGCTCAAGATTTGAAATGTACTATAATGTACTGTTCCCTTGATTCCTAGAAATGAGTAGGCGAGTGCTATCAGAACCAACGGGCAACTGCAAAATGCAACGAGTTGACACTGACGTCGAGACCTGAGATTCATTCTTGTGCCTTGAACTGTTATCTCTGAAAAAAAATCAAGATGAAAGTAATGGATAACTGGTCGTTGTTTACTTACAGGACACAACTGGCGTTTAATCACAGGCTTGGAATGCATCGGCTTCATACAAAACCTCAACATTAACATGACAAACACATACACATCGGTATCATGAAGGGCGTCAACATTCACATGACCCTATCATCATTAATATTTATGGTTAATAATCTTAATAATGTATGAATACTAATATGCTATATGTGGTGCGGCGCCTTTACCGACTTGGCCACCTGTTTCCCAGATACATCTCGGAAGCCGTTAATAGTTACAGTTCTAAACAACTTGTTGTTGACAGTCCACGGCGGACGTCACCTTTGATCGTGATAAGCAAGGCGTGAGCGTCATTCCGGCATGCCTTGAACTTCGTTAACTTCATTACTTGAAGACCTGAACGATAACAATATCAGGTGGCAATGCCTAGCCTAGCTTTGCTGCCGAAACAAATTCAATTTGGCGCAAAGGGCACAAAAGCTGTGGAAATTATATGAATGGACCACCAGGTGTTCGCGACAAGGGTAAGCATGCCGGTACGCCCTATCGGTAGCCCCCGCCATTCATACAATTTACATAAAAAAGAAAGTATTCATTGCTGACGACGCATAGCTGTACTCCTGTCATGCGATGTCAGCCTGCATAGAAACCAGACAAAGAAGGGCAACAATGATAATTTTATTTAAATTATATTTAATGAGTGAATGAGTTGGGTTTAACGCCGATTTTAACAGTATTCCAGTTATATCACGGCGTGTCAGCTTGGTGAGGGAGGAACGCCCGAAGTGATGCAGATCTCAGACGTTTACCACTTCGGTGAAACCCACGAGCACGGGTATGGTGCTGACAAAACTAATAACATAATTGGGGCGAACCGGGATTCGAACCCACAATCATAGGTTTCTGGCGTGTCCAGGGATGCAACTCTGCAGAGCGAATCGCGGCTCCTTAGACGACTGGACCACCCGTGCCCCCTAAATTATATTTAAAGGGAACATGGAAACATATATGGATGTAATGCATGAAACGAATGTTTGACGAACTTGGCCTTAGTTATATATGGATATCACAAAAGTATCATAGTCAAAGCAATTATAACAATATACAGACGTAATTAAACAATGGACTCTACATTAAGGAAAAGATATGTCATTTATATTTAAGACATTGTATACAAAACTATTTGTACCAGACATGTTTTTTGGTTGTTTTCATGTGTATATATTACATTATTTATACTTGACTTCGACAGGTAAATATTTTTTTATGCATTGTACCTCCCCCAGCACGTGTGCGCATTTTACGCCCAAAGAAATCTGTTTCATTGGAAAATCGAGACTGGTTATTTTCTAGCATTTGGTGTTAAATAAATATGCCTCAGATGTCTGGATTTTATTTGATATGAATATTTGAAGTTAGCCCAGCCACACATTTCAGCACGAAGTAAGCTTATGTGGTTTAAATAATATTTTATTCAGTAAAAATAGCTAAAATTAGTTACCTGAACAGACAACTAAATATTTAAATTTCCCCTTTAAAAAAACACGTGTTTTAATGGACAAAAAATGTTTAACAAACAAAAGTTCATGTTTGCCGGTGTACTTGTGTTCATCGAGACGGGAAATGTTTTGAAATAAACCATGTTGTGGTCGTGGGGTAGTATACATGTAAAATAGACAAATGCTTTGTATAGTACTGTGTGGGACTGAATACGATATTGAAATAAGGAACGTGTTCATTTCAAAAGAATATACAATTTAAGGTGTTGACGATCTTCTTTAGTTGACTTCAAAATGTACTTTTTACACGTGCACGTACCTTTAGCTGAATCTTAAATTTTATATTTCATATTATTTGTTTTTTTTCAATACCAATATCGAAAATCAAACAACAGGCACAGCACGACACACCACTCGCTTTATAATGAACTGTTTGGATCTGAATTATTTTATTTGAAACATGAATACCTTTGAAAGACGACATATGTAACTGCCTCGAGGTTTGACATAACCCTGATATGATTTTAATGAGAAAACTCTAAAGTGAAATCAAAAAGTCACGTGACTTTTTACCTACCTTATTTGAGAGATCTGAAAATTATGTCTCGCGGCATGTTTTTACAACCTAAGTGAGTCACTGCCATTTATGGAAGATGTCCGTGGTTTGACTGCAAAGTGTATTTGATAAATTTTGAATATTATTTTTATATTTTGATATGAATTATTAAGCAAGTTTCCGCACTATGACAATATGATTGTTTGGTTGGTTGGTTGGTTTGTTGTTTAACGCCGCACTCAGCAATATTCCAACTAAATATGACGGCGGTTTGTAAATAATCGAGTCTGGACCAGACAATCCAATGATTGATATCATGAGTACGATCCACGCAATTGGGATACGATGACATGTATCAACCAAGTCAGCGAGCCTGCAAGCATAGTCGCCTTTTACGGCACGCATGGGTTGCTGAAGACCTATTCTACCCCGGATCTTCACGGGTCCTATGACAATATGAATAATAATTAATGACAGATGAATGATGCAGATGATGCAGGAAGGGGAGGAGCTTCAAGATGAATACAGACGTTGTCATGAATATGTAGATAAGATTACTGAGGTATTGACAGATGACATTTTGAATCCTAAAAGACGGGTCAGTCAGTATGAAGGCGTGACCGTATCGCATTGTGGTCGGCAGGTTCATTCTCCTTCACCTGACGTGTGTCTCATAGAGGATAAACGAGAGGTGTAGCCAAGGTGGGGATGAAAATAAAACATACGTGCTAAACCTCAAGTCACTTCAAGGTGTGACAAATGTCACACATCTGACCATCGTGTAATACAACGGTAGTGTCAGCGATGTTCATTGAAAGGTCATGTATCTAAACAATTTAACGAACTGTGTGTAGATGTTTGTTTTCAACGAGTATGATGCACGTTTAGAAAAAAGAGTATAAATCCTCGCTATCGGTATGAATTAGCCCTTTTTAAACAGAAAAGAAAGTATTCTTCTGGTATGGATGTGAGTTACCTCTTTAGATCGTGTATGTGAGGTATGAATAGGTAAGCATCAATAGTCTATCGCAATACGGGAAAGTTGGTGTTTGTATACAAACAATAGACTACAAAAAAAACAAAAAAAACAGTCCGTTTGACTCAAAATGAGAACGATGAACTGCAAAATAACTCGAAAACCAGAAAAGTGTATGAAACATCAAGACCGTGCTTGCGCTGTGCCTTCCACCGTTTGTCCCCCCTACGTGTCATGTACACATTTCTATACAAAATTACATGATAGTTTCTTAAAGAATTTCATCCGTCATGGGTCTTAAAATAAACAAAATTCAGATTTTGTTGGGTACAGGGTATTCATGGTCAAGTACCATATTGATGTTTCATACACTTTTCTGGATTTCGCGTTATTTTGCAATTCATCGTTCTCATTTGGAGTCAAACGGACTGTAATTGAAATATGAATAACAGAGAAAAACAATGAACATGGACATGTTGGTAAAGTAAAACCTATTATTGACAGATATATTAAAACGACACGATCAACGTGAGAGACAAACTGAAATTTATAAATGCAGAGGTTGCAACCATCAGTAAGTAAGAACGAAAACAATCTTTGTATTAAAGTGACACTTTACTGTTAGTAACCTATCAAGAATGGACATAGCAAATGTGTCACTGTCAAAAAAAAGTTATCAGAAGTTTGACTTTCAGGATCTGAGTGTCCCACAACGTCTATATATTTTCCCCTCTTACATTCGGTTCAACTGTAGACGCGGATGGGTTGTGACGTCACGTATGAATATAAAGCTAGCAAATATCTACCCTTAAACTACCATCATGAAATCAAAGAATATTCAGCCGTATCGCGGTAAGAAGCCACATGTGTTTGACAGCGTTCAATATCTGGCACAGAAAGATGTGAAGAGATCCTTGGTAATATCCAAGAAGTTATTCAATGGACGATATTATGTGTCTACAAGGGCCAATGAAAAAGGAAGGAAAACCTATTGGAAACATTTGGTTATATCTTCCGCTTTGTGCGTAGGGCGGAGAAGAATGATAACTGTATGATAAGACAAGCCAAACATGGAGAACGATTACAGACATTGGAAAATTGTGTTACTTTGACATTTCATGTATCTTCAATTATGGGAGGAAAAAAAGATTATCTATCTATGATAATTCTAAAGAAACGTAGAAACAAATTGACATTAGGTGACATAATTTGGCATATAATTGGCATTTATTTGAAATCGGATCCGAACGCATCGGACAAACTTTGGTGTCCATGGTAAAGTCCTAGGTCAAATGCATGAAGGCGAATCGCGGTGCACTTTGACGTATTTTGATTATGGACGAGGTCAGAAATGGGTTAAGAACACCAAAGGATGCTCCGGCACACGCCAAGGTCGTAGCGGCGATGTAAGCGCAAGCGGTGCCTAACTTTTGACGGCGTTGGTACAAGCAAACCATTTGAGGATTGAAATGGATATAGAAGACCCAGGGACACTCCGGCATATGCGAACTTCACAGCAGCGATATACTGCATGCAGTGCCTTACTATTGACGGCGTCGGTACTAGCAAACCATTTGAGAATTTGAATATGGCCGAATATTTTTGCGTACGTTTGTACGCGCGTCACATGGAACAAGCCATTGCTCCTTACAGCTATATATAATTTGCTGAAGTTATGTGCATCACATTCGAGATTTCTTCCCACGCCCCGATGGTGGTTGCAGTATACAATCAGCGATCTGAAGGCAGGAGAGGTTTATTGTATTGGAGATACGGGATGCACTACGTGAGTTTGAAAAAAACCCTTGAGAACTGTCAACGACATCCCGACGCAAGAGGGAGCAACCCATGCATATCGGTTTAAAAGCAGGGTAACCTATTCACCACGAATGCTGTGTATGGGTGTACGGGCCGTACCTCGCGAAGAACATCAAATCACTTGAGC